CAGCCACTGTTCCAATTCATCTCATTAAGGGTCTTCCTCTTCTTCACTCTCTAATTTATCAAACATGATGTCTTTCTCCAGGGACTGGTCCCTCCTGAAGGCATGTCTGAAGTACATTAAACAAAAATGTTTCACTGGGAAGGGAGAGGAGGAGAGTGCAGTAGCGTTGGGGGTGGTAATTGGGGATTGAAACCTAATTTACACAAACTGTTGAATGTAAAACAAATTCTGCTCTGTACATTTTCACTTAAAGCACCCACAAACACACAAAAGAGTACATTAGACAAAGTCTCACCATCGTTCTTGTAAGCCACATTCTGGCTGTACGTCTTCCGTGACAGATTTGTTTGTTCTTCAGGCACTATATGTTACCTTCAGTACTCGTTGCCAACACCACGATGAAAAGGCCAGTTGATCATTGCTCTTCCTTTTTCAATGTCCAACTGTCACGTGCGTTTGAAACATTTGAAAGTATCATAGCTTGAGTCAAGAGCGCCTTAGTACTGAAAGTCATATCTTTGATTTTAAGCACTTTAAACATGCATTTTTTTAGTAGATTTGTCCAATGCAATACTTTCTTTAATTTCTTGACTGCTGCTTCCATGGGAATTGATTGCGGATCCTACTAAAATTAAATCCTTTATAACTTCAATCTTTTCTCTTTTTATCATAATGTTGCTTAGTGGTCCAGTTATGAGTACCCTTTGTGAATAACTAATTTTATCAATGTCCTCAAACTACCTAAACCTCAGCTATGTTAGTATGTTTTTATATAAACTAAAGCAAAAAGCTTGAAATTAATTTCAAAAAAGGTATGAAGTTAAAACCTTCTTATTTTATATATATATATACATATTTTAACTTTCAAGTATTATCTTCTTTAAAATAAATGTTTCTTGGATTTCTTAATGGTTGTAAATTTATTTCATAGATTTTTTACTTTAAATATCTTCTTAAAATATCATTAGAATTTAAAACACAAACATAATGCTCATTTGCCACAAAGACTGCTGGAAATGAAGTTTTCTTGTAATATTATTTAGTATACTTATAAAAGAACTCTGGTGGCATAGTGCTTAAGGCATTTGACTGCTAAGAAGAAGGCTGGTGGTTCAAGCCCACCAGCCTCTTTTGCGAAGGAAAATTGAGCAATCTACTTCCATAGAGATAACGCCAGGGAAACCCAAGAAGGGGTTTCTATGAGTTGGAATGCACTCAATGGCAGTGAGTTTGTTTGTTTGGTTGTTGGTTTATGATTACAAAAAAATAACAAGTTTTCAAAAATTCAATGTTTCAAAGCAATTTCACTACTTAAAATCACTATTTAAGGTAAATTACCTTTAGTAGAGTAGCTCTTGTAGTGTAATGCCTAAGGCACTTGACTGCTAACCAGAAGGCTGATGGTTCAAACCCACCAGCCACTATTTGGAAGGACGGTTGGGCAATCTACTTCCGTAGTGATACCGCCTCAGAAATCCAAGGAGGGAGGGGTCGCTATGAGTCTGGTCCAACACAACAGCACGTAACAATAGCAACAACATTTAATGGAATCCTATAGGAGCTGTTTTAGTGAAACTGAGTTTATTAATCTATACAAAATATAATTCTACCA